ATGCAACCCTCCCATCAAAGTTCCATATTGAGAACATATCCCCATTTTTTGTTGGACTTAGAATTGCTTCCTTACTTTTTGCTCCATTTATTCTTCGAGCAAGTAACAACAATGCCAGAGATACCAACACAAGAGAAATGGTGCTAAGAAGAATAATTTTAATATGTCTCATCACTTTGTTGAAATTTTTTCTATGTTGAGTGAAAGGAGAAGGCGAAGTAGTGGGGCTGCCAAGAGGATAATTGTATAAATCTGGGATGTCTATAAAAGAGTTGGATGAAAAATCAGCCCAATTTTGTGGGATTGGGCCTGTGAGATTATTGCAACTGAGATTCAAGCCATCTAGATTCAAGTTTCGTAAATACCCAAGTTCTGAAGGTATTGACCCTTTCAAATGATTTGAATCAAGATACAAGTTAGTCAAATTGGTTAAATTACCTAGAGTGGAAGGAATGGGACCAGTGAAATTGTTAGCACTAAGATCTAAAATATATAGATTCTTCATATTTCCTATTTCAGATGGGAGGTATCCGCCCATGGAATTGTGGCTCAAATACAGTTCTTCTAAAAGGGAGCAATTCTCAAGCTGTGTTGGGAGGTGTCCACACAATTTGTTTCGAGAAAGGTCCAAATACCACAAAGATTTCAAATGCCCAATCTCTTTGGGTATTGAACCTTCTAAAAGATTGGAATCAAGACACAATTTTCGCAGATTGGGTAAATGAAGTATGGTGAAAGGAATTAAACCAGTGAAATTGTTAGTACCAAGATTCAACCAAGATAGATTAGTCATAATTCCTATTTTAGAAGGAATGAAACCTTGTAAATTATTTGAACCAAGATCCAAATAGTGCAAATTAGACAAATGAGATAGAGATGAAGGGATACCACCAGTTATTTTGTTTTTACTAAGATCCAAGTTCCACAAATTATATAAACTTCCTAAATTTTGAGGGATAGAACCATTGAAGTTATTTGAACCAAGATTCAAATTTGACAAATTGGACAAGAGACACAGAGATGGAGGGATTTGACCGGTTATTTGGTTATTACTAAGATCCAGACTCTGCAAATTAGACAAATTAGACAGAGATGAAGGGATACGACCAGTTATTTGGTTATTACTAAGATCCAATTCCAACAAATTATATAGACATCCTAAGTTTTGAAGGAAAGAACCATTCAAGTTATTTGAATAAAGATCCAAAGTTGACAAATTGGACAAACGAGACAAAGAGGAAGGGATTTGTCCAGTTAATTTATTACCACCAAGATTCAGAAGTTCCAACTTACTTAGATTTCCTATGTTTGGTGGGATGGAACCCTCAAAAGAATTTGTTCCAAGGTCCAGGAACCTCAAATTGGACAAGAGACTCAAAGATGATGGGATTGTGCCCCCTAAACGGTTTTGCACAAGATACAAACCAATCAAGTTCTTAAGGTTTGTCAGTTCCAAAGGGATGAAGCCATTGATTTGATTCTCATAAAGAAACAAGTATCTCAAATTTGTCAAGTGACCCAAAGTTGGAGGGAGCGGACCAACAAGTCTGCAGTGCCTCATGTGGAGATCAGTGAGATTTGTCAATTCCCCAAATTCTGGAGGGATGGAGCCACTAAATGAATTGAAACTGAGATCTAGAAATGTCAAACTGGTTAATTGCCCAAGACGGGGTGGTATTAGACCGACAAACAAGTTCCAAGATAGATCCAGAGAAACCAAGTTCTTTAAATTTCCCATTTCTGAAGGTATGGATCCATTGATTTGATTGTTTGCAAGAGACAAAGAAACCAGATTGGTTAAATGACTGATGTTGGAAGAGATTGGACCA